ACAGGAAGTCCCATATAGGAAAACCTTTGCGATGCCTGGCTGGTGAAGAGATTGAGGAGGTACTAGAAGTAGCCCATCATCACACCTTGGCCCATCCACACCTGGGGAGTAGATCTCATAGGCAAAATTCATCCCCCCCCCCTCCAAAGGATCCTGCTTCATTATAGTGGCCACAAATTACTTCACCAAATGGGTAGAGGCTATACACTTGCAGAGAATTTGTGTAGAGAATATAGCCAATTTCCTTAGGCAACATGTAGTCCACCGATTTGGAGTCCCGATGAGGATCTTGACAGATAACGGCCTATCTATTAGGAACTAGGAAATCTGTCACCTTCTAGGGCAATATGGTGCAAGACTAGGAACGTCAACGACGTACTACCTGTAAGGAAATGGACAAGCATAAACCACCAATAAGTCCCTACTGAGAATGATTAGAAAAATGGTGGCCGATAATTAAAAAGATTGGTCAGAAAAGTTGTTAGAAACCCTCTGGGCTTATCACACTACCATTAGAAAAAGCACACAAGCGACACCTTATTCACTAGTGTATGGCCAATAAGTAGTGTTGCCGGTAGAAATACGGGTAGTGTCCACTCGTGTAGCTTTTGTAATGGGAAAAAGGACCAAGCCAGAAGATAAGGTACTCAAGACAACACTGAACATTAGACAAGTTAAGTCTGTTGGAAAATTTGCTCCAACATGGAAAGGCCCGTATATGATCAAAGAGGCTCACTCATCTGGCTACTATGTATTAAAAACTATAGATACAGGAGAATAGGATGAAACAATAAATGGCTACTAGTTGAAACCTTACTTTGAGAAGTATTGTACAAGATGTAATTATACTATCTCATGTATTTGCTTTAAAGATAAATGTATCAAAGATATTGTACAAGTTTTCTTCTTTTGCTGAGAATTCTTTTGATATTGTACTACAATGATTTCCTGATGCATATGTTAACAGTTCATGCCTTGCGATAAAGTTTACTTTCTTTCTCAATTCAGATAATAAAGCCCTGATGTGACCATGTATATAATCAATTGATAACTATTTGTTGTTACGATGCTTTGATCAATATAACTTGGGTACTAACCCTTGAATATGTCTCTCATATACTCTTATCTCCTAGCAACCCCAAGTGCACTTAGTTTCCCCGACAACCCCAGGAAGGCCCTAGCAACCTTAGGTACACTTAGTTTCCTCGACAACCCTGGGAATGGCCTAGCAACCCCAAGCATGCTCACTTTCCCTAGCAACCCCAAGAAGGCCACGGGAAACTGAACCATAGTAGATTTTTTCTTCCCTCTAATTGCCTCATGACAAATGGCCAATCACGATCACCAAGAAACGAACAGAAGCGCTCACTCATGGTCAGGGTTCACACCCATAGTAGGACTATTCACTTCCACAATGCAGTGTCGATCACCGTCTGTAGGAATAGACATGCCAACATAGAACTGAAGGGATGAGAGATTCATCGTATGGACGCCCAAAGATTGCGGAATAAGGGGGCGAATTTCAAAAATTTTTCTCTCCCTTCAACTGGGAATCGCATTCCCTGTTTTAGAAAATCATATTTTCAAGGATCATTTTTGAACCATAAACTGAACTAGATCTGAACCAAAAGGAGTAGAAGAGGATTATACCTGATACAGAGAAATAATATCTCCCAACGAAGGTGTTCATGCCCAAGGAAGGATCCAAAGACTGCTCCCACTGAAGATGGCGCAGTGTAGGATGGAGCAGAATCAACAGTGTTATTCTCCAAGAACTCTGTCCTTTGCAAGAATCAGCAGGATGGTACGTGAGCATAGCTTCCTATCAATTCTTTCTCAAAGAGCTGATGTCAAGATCAAATCTTAACTTCTCCCACAACTGGAGATCGAACTGGCTAACAGGGCGGCAAGAACAGGGAGGCGGCAAGAAAGAATTCTGCAGCGTTGCTTAATTCTTTCTTCTCTATGATTTCAGCACTAAAGAGGATCTGAATGTGTGTCTTCTAAATGCTGCCGCCCCCTCCTTCTTTTGTTAACCTAAAAGATCAGCTCCTAATTCAAGATTGATCATTGAAAAAATATGATTTCTAAAGTAGGGAATTCGATTCCCTGCAAAGATGGGAGAAATTTTCGAAATTCGCCCAGTCTATTCCGCAAGACTTGGGCGTCTATGTGATGGATATCCCATCCCCTTCATAAGTAAGGCGCACAATAGGCAGTAGCACACGCGGGTTATGTGGATCTCCGAGTGAAAGGAAAGCCAATCCTCGAAAAGATCCCCATAGGGACACATGGCAAAACCCCAATAGAGAATCCTTCTCTGAATGAAGGTCATTGACCCAATCACAAATTATCCTCATCACTTATCCCCCATTCTGTCACTCTCCCTTGGTACCCTAGCCTTCGGATTGATTCCCCAGCTCTTGGCTTTTCTCTATCTTTCAAAGAGACCACCTCCCTATCCTAGCCACCACCTTACCTACAATGGGTTCATCGCATAGGAAAGATGAGCTGTTGGCTGATCGCAAGCATCCATGTGGTATCAATCTAATGTCTATTGTGTTCTGAGGAACTATGCGAGCACTATGTACCTATACCTTGATTCGGTGTCAGTTGTTAGGGGAACACTGCTAAGGTTTTGCCACGTGTTTTATGAGATCTCTCCAAGATGAGGTTTTCTTTTGTTTGAATTCTCATAATACACGTATGCTACTTCCTTTCATGAGTCAACTAACATGGCATGGATGACATTAATAATCAATACTAATCTTACGTGTCTTTTCTAATCTTACTAGGCGTCCTATTACAAGTGACGTTGGTCAGTCATCATGTTTCTTTGTTCGTCTCTGACTTGCAATGGCCATGAACTCACCGTAGGTTTGCGATGGTTTCATACTCATCGCAGATATCTAGTGTAGATACATAGTGCTTGCCCAGACCATCAAAGTACAGAAGACACTAAATTGATACCACTTGGATGCTTGTAACCAGTTCATAACTCATTGGCTACTTGCGATGAGCTTATAACTCATCGAATATCTGCAATGAACATCTGACTTATCACACATTTGCGATAAACTTGTACCCATCACAAGTCAAGATAAACACTAGCTAATGTGAACTTACAATGAAGTTTAGACACACACAATTCTGTGATAAACTTTGAACACGCATGGTTCTGTGATGAACTTTGGAAACGTGCGGTTTTGTGATGAGCCCAGACCATTACAGAACTACGGGTTACTGTGAACCAGAGTTAAATATTGGTTACACGTGCAACTTTAGGATCACGTGCATGATAAGGCACCATGTGGGTGTAGTAAAATACGCCTGTTAGATGATGACATCACCAGCATCACGTCGATTAAGTAGGTTACGAAAGGAAGTAGCACACGCGGATTATGAGAATCCTCGGACGAAAGGAAAATTAGTCATTAAGAGATCTCATAAGACACGTGGCGAAACCCTAACAGTTCTCCTTAATGACCGACTGCGAATCTAATATTCCCTTTCCTAATGGGAATCAAATTCTTTCAATGCCTTCCTTTCTAGACCTCATGATCCCTCCTTATAAATGAGAGTCCATCCCATGACGAGATCATCATTCGATCATTCAATTATCCTATCCTGCTCCCTTGTCACTTCCATTCACCCTAATCTCCAAACTCTCACCCAACACTTGGTCTTCCTTCGTCCTTCAAGGAGACCCCCATACCTAGCCACACCACCTCACTTACATTTGGCAACTTTAGATTCCTTTTTGGTGCCATAGCTTTGAGTCTTTTGCAAATCTGTGGTGCTTGTGCTCATTACAAGCTCATCGCAAGTTTGTGTAGGCTTTGAGCTCATTGCAAATATGTGCCAAGTCATGAACTTGTCATGGGTGCCTTTGTGGCATTGGCTTAGCACCTTCTACGCTATTTGCAGTTGTTGTGATCAACATGTAGCTACACTATGCTCATCTTAGGGTAGCATATTAGGTTTGTTACAAACTTGCGGTGTCATTTTATGCCCATCGCAAGTATCAGATAGTACTCTGTGCTCATCACAGGTCTTGCGCAGGACTTTGTACTCATCGTAGGTACCGAAAGGTGCTTTATGCCCATCACAAGCCTTAGATGGCCTTTTGTGCTCATCGCAAGTGTGTGAGCCTGGCATTACTTTGATAATGTGTCATTGTGTTATCACAAAGGTGTTTCAATTACTTTGGGAAAATTCCACTTTAGTACCCTGAACTTTGGGGGTGGTGTCAAGTTGGTACAAAACTTTCAAACATGTCACTACAGTACCTAAACTTTCAAAAAGTGTCAAATTGGTCCCTGCCATTAATCAACTGTCAGTTATCTGTTGAAAATGTTAAAACTAACCTTCAAAAGAAGACACTGTTCATTGTCTTCTACCTTGAGCCCAAAAGATTCTATCTACCCTGAGTTTTTTTTCTTCATGGGATTAGACAGTGGGGGTAGCCATCCCCTTAACTAAGGGACCAAACTGTAAGCCTTTTTTCTAAACCAAACTGATAGTACCAATTTTTGGAAAATCAATAATCAAAACTGAGCTAAAGCCGATTGATTAACCGGTTGATTGGCTTAGTTATACATGTATATCGGTTGGTTTGGTTAACCATTAATTTTTTGTATTGATTAACCGAAACCAAATCCATACCTTCGATTTTTGAAAAAGGAAAATCTATGATACGGAAAAGATTTAGTATAAAAAGAGTTTTGACCAATCAAAACCCACCCATAAAATTTTGAAAAATAACACATGATTGACTGCCACATTTTCAGATAAACACTAAATTTTGATATATCATATGTTGATATGTTGTTCATGAGATCAAATCAGCCCCTTAACTCCCACAACCCGCCTTGTATTCGGAATATCTCTGGATGATAATCCCAGAAATAATGATATCATCATCGGTACACGGCAGCGATGTGCTGTGTAAAGGGCAATCTTGTGGGATGCTGATTTTAAGTCGTTTTCCATATCATAGATTCATAGTCGAAGCCGGTTGGAAAATACCAAATTGAAAACTGAATCGATTCGCTTAACCGGAATTTACGATTTGGTGTTTTAGATTCGGTTCAGTTTTCACCCCTGCCTTAACCCCAATCCCAGGATTTGATCCCACTACGTCTCTGCTACGAGTCAGAGCAACACCAAGTGATTCCTAATTGACATCCGATTCCCCAATCCCGTGCCATAAACCCAATGATGATAGATTGGTCCTGATTTTCTCAACTTCCAAGCCCAAATTACAACCATCGGAGGGCCAGGGCTGTATCCGTCAATTTGCTTCGTCTCTCTCCCTCTCTCTCTCTCTCACTAGAAGAAAGCGAGAGCATGGCTGAGCTCCTCTTATATTCTATCCATGGCGACGCTCTCCTGCTCACTCCATCGTTTTTCTTCTCTCTCCTGCTGTCCTCCAAGCGCCACTTATTTAACGGCTCCCGTTCAATGCTCCCTTATCTCTACCAACACTCAGTCTCTTCCTCAGCTAATTAGAAAACCTGATATACATATTTACACTAGAACCTCTGACTTAAAATGGAAATTTCTTCAACGGAAGCTCCTTTTCCATCCCATTTTATTCTTCAATAGTTTCGATAGGCCTGTTGACACTCAAACCTTTCTCGCTACAGTTAGTGTCTTGGCCGCCATTGCTCTGTCTCTATTTCTGGGACTGAAGGTTTGCTTGGTTACTTCCTTTTTTTTGGTTCGATTTTATGTTTCATTTGTTCTATTTCTAGTGGTTCTTGAAATGTTTTATGATTAGCGTTTATGTATTGGGATTTTTAACTTGTTGGGTTTTTTAGGGAGATCCTGTTCCTTGTCCGCGGTGCGCTGGTAATGGTAATTCATTTTTTCTTCCAATTCCAGTTTAAGAAATATAAATTTATCGTTAGATGTCTTCTTGATGAATATGAACCTTGTACAAAAGAGTCATTCTTGATTACAAATTTATCGTTAGATGTCTCCTTGATTAATATGAATCTTGTACAAAGGTGTCATTATCGTGTTTGATACTTGAATCTTTAATTAAATTTCGCATCCTTTGACATTTCCAGCTTTGTCCTTGCCGTATCGCGGTAACATAGTTTAATATTTGTGGTTGTTGAAAAGTAACTAGGAGAAAAAAAAAGATTGATAGGTGCAAGATGGGACTATGATTGGAGAATTACAACAGAGTTCTGGATTTTTTTAACTGAAATTTGTACCATTTCTTCACTCTTAGCTCATCTTTCAGCAACCCCAAGGAGCCATGATACTTCGTTTGTAATATCTGTGAATCTTGTTACTTGTAACCTGAGTCCAAAACCTTTCTTCATCTACTAGGAAGTAGCAAGAAACTTATTTTTTACCAAAACAATAATGGAGAAAAGACAGAAGGATATTGAATTCTTTACAAATAAATTTTCTTGGTGTTTTGTGTAAAATAGATAGATACATGAACCTTGTTCTGATGCATGTCAATCAACTGGTTTTTATAACTCCCCTAGATTCATAGGATTTGGTGACAGGATAAACCTTAACAGTATATGAATTAGATATTGTTCAATGTTCTTAGTTAAGTTATTACATCATTGAGGATTTAGGTAGAAAAATCTAGATATCTGGTGCTGCTGCATAAAATATTTTTCAATGTTCCTGTTACACCTGTTTCTTAACCTTCATACTGAGCTAATGGTAAAGCTTTCTCAAAAATAAGTGATTGAATGTTGATTACTTGTAAATGAAGCTAGATAATTTGTTTCTTACTGACAATTCCTTCCCATTGTATAAAGCTGCTATCAAAAGTTTTCATGAATTGTCAAAAAACAGGCATCCAAACACAGGAATCTTTTGCATGGCCTACCTTTCAATTGTTTTACAACTTCAAGTTGTTTCTTGAATGGGTGATAAGTTAAATAGTTATCACTGAGCTATTTTAAGATTTCTATTTGTCCAATATAGTGCCTTATCTAGACTGTTCTTTTTCTATTTTTTTTTATAGGTAACAGTCAACTTTATTGAAAACAGTAAATATGTACAAAGACATTCATTTCTTTTACAGAGAGAAGATTTTTCTCCCTCCCCTACGTTTAATTTATAATTGAGCCCAAAAAAAACTCATCTCTACTCACCCCCTGTTTAACTAAAGCATTAGCCATATAGTTTGCTGATCTTTGAACCCATTTAATTTGAATATGGACATTTCTAGTCTGCCACCTAAATTGCTTTATTTCATTTTGGTAGGAACACAATGCTATTTCATTTTTCATCATCCAACTAATTAGCACCTTAGGATCACCTTCAATGATTAATCTTTCTATATTCAAATCTCCTGCCTGTTGAACCCCTAGTATAACATCCATACAGCCATAATTTTTGCCCTTAATGAGTCCCCTACTCCAATCGGACCAGAGAACATTGCCACAATACACCCTTCATCATTTCTAAAGACCCTCCCACGCCTCAATGTCCAGGAGTCCCCATCCTGCTACCATCAAGATTAACCTTTATGAAGCCCTTTTCTGGTGGCACCTATTGTTTATGCATCTCAGCTTTCTTTGAGGATGTTCTCGCTATTTCCTCTCATTTCCTTGGAACATCATGATGCCTTATTCATACTGTTAAGTTGCCTTTTCCATAGCTGATTTTAGTAAGCTTCTCCCAGTTGCTCTTCAAAGAATGGTTATCAACAATTATAATTCTTTTTCTGGATATCTCTTATAAGTTGTAGTGATTGATAAGATGGTTCTTTCTAATGAGTTTTATTTTGTTTATTTATTTTCTAAGGTTGATGGAATGCTCACTGCACATGACACGGTACAGATTTATTAGTCCATAATGATAAATATAAGTAAATTAAATGCTGAATTTTCTCCTTTGATGGATAGGTGGCACAAAATGTGTTTTCTGTGAAAATGGTAAGATGAAGCAAGAGACTGGACTGGTTGATTGTAGAGTATGCAAGGGAGCAGGTATAGTTTCTGAGATTGATATTCAATGTCGGACTCAACACTCAGATATCTGTGAATGCTTGGATCTCCTACCCACAAAACTCTTCCCACTTCCCTGCCACAGGACACAACAGGCACACAGGCATTATCTCCTTTCTCACTCATGGGGAAATGTTCCCAATACACAGTGGTGGTGTCTTGTGGATAGTGATGTTGGAAAAGTTCGTGAATAGGAGATTGGCAAGTGACTTTAAAATTTCCATTATTTTGTTACCGTGTTAAAAAAATTCTACTCTTATCTCCGACCTTGAGCAACTGTTTTTTCTTTTATTTTTAGTTACTAGGTCTAGCATCATTCACTCCAAAATATGATCTCTTAACACCCCCCCCCCCCCAAAAAAAAAAAGGAAAAAAGAAAAGAAAGAAAAAGAACAAAGAACAAAGAACAAAGAAATTCTCTTGGCTAATTCAAAGTGGATTAAATATTGATTGACCAACTTCCATGGCAATTTGAAGTACTTGAAATTTTACAGATTATTAGTAACATTTTCAACCTACTTTCATAAACAAAACATAGTTGAACACCTAGCGTTAGTCCATGATCAGTTTATTGGATTGTATTTAGGTATAATCCTCCAAATGGCGGATGCCTGCATGTGTTAAAAAATAATAAACTAAAAAAAGGTGGATGCCTGCATGATGTTTTCAGTTATTGGGTTCTAGTTACCTCCCATACCACTCAAAGTGATTGATTTGCCATCCATGAGGACATGTAGATCATAGTATTGTATTATTTTGGCATATTTCTAGCTATTCTTTGGTCACCATTAGTGGATGCTAAAATGTTAGGCCCTTCCTTAGTAGAGTGTAAAAGTTTCATAATGCCTTGGCTTTTTGCATGTCCAGTGAAAGGAGACAAGAACAGTTTTCTGCCACTGTTTTACCTTCTAAATTCATGACTTGCTCTGAAATTAGTGCATAATGTTTTTAATTCCACATCCAAACAAATCTTTAGTAATATTTGATTGCATATCACCCTTCATTTCTTTGATCCTTTTGTAATTCTTGCATATCTCTCTGTAGGCCTAATACTCTGTAAGAAGTGTGGAGGTTCTGGATATTCAAGACGCCTGTGAGCTGGAATTCCTGCTTATACAATATAATTTTGACCTGTAAACAATGACTTGCTTTAATGCATATGTGTTAATTTTCCATATTTACTTGACTACTTCTGGGAACATAAGTGATCTTGGGGGAAGAAGTTATTGGGATGTGAAAATGCAATTAACATTTACTAAAATTAATCAGATAATAACAAAAAGAATGGGAAAAATAAAAAACATTCAACAGATGAACAGATGATAACAAAAAAAGAAAGAAAAGAAAAAGCATGCAGTCTGGACCTAAAAAAAAATCATTCAAAAGATGTTATCAATCGGATGATAAAAAAAATCCAATAGATGACAACAAATTCAAAGAAAATAAGAAAGAACGAGAAAATACTCGTCCTCTCTCCAGTGATAACCTCTCGATGCATAATTGCATTTACGGTGTTTGAACTCCAACGTTGGACAGTGTGTACCTCTTGTAAGGGTGTATTTCCTACTACATGATCCTACAATGAACTACCCAATCGAATGAAGAATTATATTATCAAATCAAAATATTATTTACGTGCTTTTTTTGCTTTTCGGGAAGATAAGTGTTTCTTGTAAGGGTGCATTTATCCATGCTTTTTTATTTTCCAACCACATGTTTTTTTATTTTCCAATTAAATAAGACAATGGCCATTATTTTAGCCATAAAAACCATTATTTAAAGGGGCAATTTTGTCCGACATAAGTGTCGACAATTTCCCTAAATTGGAAAAGTTATTTATCCACCTTGTATCACTTACCTGGGTAAGTGATGATAATCAGGGAAAATAATTTTTTTGTGGATCACATATAAATCTGAAAAAAAAATAACAGGAGTATTTTAATCAATGACAACCAAAATCTTATTGACCAACTTTTCAAAGATAAGGGCCTTAAATGGTTTCAAAAGTCAACAAATATCATACAATACACACCTTTAAATATGGACATTAAATACAAAACACGTCTCTTGAGAAAATCCACTTAAGAACTACACAAATGGTAAAAAGAAGAATTCTTAAACATGATTCTAGTGTAAAGAAAAACAAATAGACTTTTTAATAACAAAATTAGAATTTAAAACTTCAAGAATTTCTCATATTTTACAAAATTTGAAAAATAAAATGCAAGTGAGGCGATGCGAGAATGATGTACATTGGCGCCAGTTTGTTATGGTTTTTTTAAAAAAAGTACCTTGCAAAGGAAAAATAGCATTTCCTTATAAAGAAGAAACTTTGTAAATTTTCTATGAAACAGATGCTTTATTTTTTTGTCTTCAAAGTGTTAAACGATTTCTTTTTTCTATTATACCTTTTAAGACCATGTGAAATGCCCATTAAACACTACATTCAGCTACAATTTTAACTTGAAAGAATTATATGGCTCATATCATTAGAAAAGAAAATTATTTACGAAGAGAATTTTCAACTTCTATGCCCTCTATGACTAGCTAATTTCAATGTTGTTCAAACTCAAATTGAAAACAACTCCCTATGATTTGCATTCTCATTTAAAATCAAGCATGGGTAGTGTATTTGGTGGCATCCATATTGTTTGGTCGGTGTCCTACTTGGCCGAAGGCGCCAAGTGGATGTTTCCATGGTCGAATTCCTCGGACCATGTCAACACGCATTTACACCACTGCCCCACCAAAGACCTTGCAAGGAAGTGAAGTCCTATAGAGACAAGGAGACTCGTCCCCGTCAAGGAGGATGCAGCCTCCTAAAATCCTCGGTGGATGACCTCATCAAGATAACCCCGCGAAGTCCCTATCTGACTACAACATGAACACTCATCTATTTAAAAGCATCTCCCCCTCGAGGTAAATGACTTTTTGGTTCTCCATTCATTCTTGTATCCGTAACATCCACTATGGTTTTGACTAGTCTATTTTCTTCAACTTGTCCTAACTGACTTGAGCATCAAAGTGCCTTCCCAAGTAAAATCTCCTCGAGCCTTTGATATCTCTCTACGCTTGCAGACCACAGTACATGTCTTCATCCTTCCACCTCAGCCTTGTGTAGTTGGAAAGACAGCATCAGATTGGCATCGTTTATGAGAAACGCATAATAAGCCTATTCCCCATTATCTCTCTTTTCCTGCACCAAAAGCAACCAGGCCTAGATATGCATCCAATCACTTAAGCACTCAATTCCCATCTTGGGGGACTCACTCATTTTATTTCTCACAACCCCGTGGAGCTCAGCCACAAGCCCAAGTTGACCCTGAACAATTTAATGCCTCGCAACAAAAGGTAAACCACCTCATCATGATGATGGAGGCTCTATGGCAGTTTGCACAAGCCCTAAGGGTGCCTACTGCTATTGATCCTCATCCCAAGGACCCCAAAAGGCAACCCACAAACACTTAAAAACCATACACCAAGAGTGAGCAACCCCAGCAGTCCTGAAGGATTGAATCCCAAGATCAGATCCAGGTTCCCGATGTACGACGCTCTCGGTTTTGTCACTCGCATCTCCCAGCGATAGAACACTTGGCCAACAACAACCAGAGCCCTCTTATGCCGAGTCCAATTTTTTCAAAGACCGCATCGAACTCAAAGACATGTGGCAGTGACTAAGTGACTTGGAGCGCAGCCACGCCAACCAACGTGCTCCTACTATAGAAATAGAAGCTCGTCCTATTGAAGAGCGCCTCGAAGGAACTACTCTTCACGAAAGAGATCATGGACGAGATGCCCCTAGTAGGATTGCAGGCTCTATAGTTGGAGAAGTATGATGGCGCAACGGGCCCGACCGACCGTTTGGAAGGCTTCAAGTAGGGGTGCAAGTCATGCGGGTTGGGCCGGGTTTATGGTCAACCCAAGCTTGGCCCTAAAATTTGGGCTTAAGGCCCAAGCCTAAGGTTAAGCCCAATTTTTCCAATCCAAGCCCAGCCCGTCCTGTAATTTGATGCAATTGGGTTAGGCTCGGGCTCGGGCCGTGTTTGGGTTGGTCAATGAACCCACTCTAAAATTATACATATATAAATGTATTTATGCAAATATATATACATATATTTATGTATGTAAATATGTATACAAAATATACAAATGATATATATACAAATATGTATGTATGTATGTATGTATATATATATATGCAAATATGTATGCAACATTTACATATATACACATAATATGTATAAATGTATATAATTGGGTCGGGCTCAGGCTGAGTTCAGGCTAAGGGCTAGGCTTGAGCCTGACCCAAAAAATAAAAAATCTTGACTTCTTGGGCTTGAGCCTAGCTTGAGGACCAAAAATCTAAGACCAACCCGTGTAAAATTTTGGATTGGGCTAGTTTGGGCTCGGGCTGGGACCGCCCAAGTTGATCCCTCAAACATACTCCATCATCTAGCAGCCCCTCTGACGTTGATCACCAATTCGTGTTCCTTTGCACAATAAATATGGATATCCTTGGGGTGTTTCCTACTATAGTCAGCCAAAAGAAGTTTCTTCTCATTCTTATGAACTTTTCAAAAAGTGGGTCAAGGCTGAGCCCTTGGCCCGCATCATAGCACAAAATGTCCAAGGCTTCTTGTGGAGGAGCATCATCTACCACTTCAATATCCCAAGGGCCCTGTCACAGATAATGAATCACAATTCATCAATCAGAAATTCAAAAAGTTTTGCATCAAGCTAGAAAAGTTGGACAAGCGCAAAGGAAGGTGGGTAGAAGAGTTGTCAAGCATCCTTTGGGGGTACAGGACTACACCTAGAATGGTGATAGGAGAAACCCCACTCAGTCTAGTGTTTGGCAGAGGTCATGTAGAGATCGAATCCCCTACACCCCACACTGAGTTCTACAATGAAGAGACAAACAATGAAGAACTCTATGCCGAATTAAATCTTTTGGAAGAAGAACAGAACCAAACACAAGTTATAATGGTGGCCTATCAACATAGAATGGCCAAATATTATGATGCCTGGTTCAGTCGAAGGCAGTTGAAGGTAGGCCACCTTGTCTTCCAAAGAGTGATCGTACCTAATCCTAGAGTAGGTAAGCTCAACCCCAATTGGGAAGGCCACACAAAATCACCAAGGTTTTAGGACCGGTATGCATGTACCAATCGAGAAAACACCATTGTCACACACCATGCACAAAATCTTGGTCGACCACTAATGACCACACCACGTACAAAGGCTTGGCTGACCAACGGACGAGGCCCAATGACCACACCACGCATAAAGGCCCAACCAACCATTAATAACCAAGGTTTGACCTTTTCCATCTATGGCTAGAGGGTGGCAACTGAACTCCGTGCTTAGAGTTCGTGGCATTGCCAAAGACTCCCAAACACCTACTTGACCTATCATCAAAACAAAGGTAACCGAGGACCATGGCCAGCCCGCCTAGAGAGCATGAGCTCTATGAGACCAGGCACCACAGAGTTCCCTACCAACACTGAGAACTCAGAAGCACCTCAGCTACCACGACCCAAAGTGGTCTAGTAGTAGAATTATTTCCAAGGATAGAGAAGTCCTTGACCACAGAAGGACCAAGGATGGCCTTGGTCCAACAAGTGTAATACAATAAATAAATATGTAACTTGCATGAAAGGATGCCAAAAAACTTGTCTTTCATTCAATTCACCAAATTTTTTTATAAGTATAAAAGCTTGTCATACAGAGTTGTACATAGTATGCTAAAAATAAAAAGGGTAAAGAAAAGAAGGAACTATCACTCTTCCGAAGGAGGGTCCTTAGCTCGGATTTGGCTTTTAGTGGCCACAGAAAATTTGGTAGTCTTGGAGCCTACTCTTGGGATGGCTTGTCGAGATCGAAATGCCCAAACTCTTGCACCACACTTACCACCTCTAGGAACATGTGCATAACTCGCTTTTGACAATGGGTGAACCCTTCTTTCTTCAAGTCACTGACATAATCATCTAGCTCATTTTGAAAGGCCACCGAGAACTTTTACTTAGAGACACCCAGTTCTTGTCAAGAGGGGTTTCTGCAAGATGTCTGGCCAATCTGCAGCTACCGCCACCGGATCTAGATTCTGGATCATTTTATTTATTTATTTATTTTATTTTCTTTGTTGATTCCCATACTTTATTAAATTCTGGTTTTTATTTAT